CATTTTGTTCTAAAAATAGATTTTTAAGTATGTTTTACAGAAAAATTTGTTTAATTTAGGAGTTTCTGGACTAGTTAAGAAAGTTTGGAAAAGTGTGTAAGCTTCAGGTAAGCTTATTGGATGTTTAGGAAATTCTAATGGGTACCAGAAAAGTAAAATTTCTGGGTCACCCCAGTAAATTTTCCTAAAATTGCCAATAAAAAAACCTGCAAAGGGTAAGTTTTTGTTTTAGAGTTTCACTTGTATCTCTGTGAGTTTTGGTTTGTTTTTAGTAAAATATATATCAAAATGTCCGGTTCAGTGAGTTGAACAACTTTTGAATAGGTAAGAAAGTAGGTTTAATTAGTAAAATATCTGTAAATGGACAAAAACTAAAAACTTGGTTTTTGAGACTTTTCTCAACAGCCAGATGTTTTTGTGAAGTAAAACACAGCCGCCTGGGATGAGAAAAGTGTGCTGAACAACTTTACTTAAGAGGTCAAGTAAGGTTTGCTTAGTAAAAAATTGAGAAATAAACAAATGTTTTTTGGTAGTTTTGGTATAAGTGATCTACAGAAAGAGTTACTAAAATTTTTACATGAATAATAATATTTTATTATATATTAAATTTATATATTGTATACAGAACTTATTTTAAGCAGATATTATTAATAAATTATATAATATATAAAATATGCATATAATTGTAATGTCATCGCTTTTACCTCATAACTATAAGGTTTTCATATTAAAAATATAGTTTTATAAAAATCTATAATTTTTATAAATTTTATTTTTAGTAATAAAATTAATACTATTATTATATAAAAAATTTTATATATTTAATTTTACTTACTAATATTATTATTTCTTCGCGAATATTTATTTAAGTTCATTTTTTGGATTTTTTGGATTTTCTTTAAGGATATTTTTTTTTGATATATTCTTAGTATTTTGAAGATATAAGGATCTTTGAGGACGTTGTCTAATTTCAAAGCTATTATCTTTAGAAATATATTAAATAAAAAAAATATTAATAAATAATAATTTAAAAAAAAATTATTAACTTTAAATCTTACCATTTTCAAGATCTTGATTTTTTTTATTATCGAACTCTTGATTAGTAGTTAAAGTTTTTACTATAAAGATATATATAATTAGATATCGTTTAAAATTAATAAAATTATTTTCTAATTCTAACCTCTTTTAGATCTTCGATTTTCTTTGTTATATTCTAAACTATTATCAGACTCTTCTGCTTCATTAAGAATATTATTAACCTCTGTATCTACAGATTCATATATTTCATTAATATTATTATCGTTATTAGTTTCAGAATTATCAGTTTCTTGCATTTCACTAATAAAATCTTAATTTTGCATATTATCTATTTCTTGATCATAGACTTGATCTTGTACATTATCAGTTTGATCTTGAGTATCAATTTCTTAATTTTGTATATCATCTATTTATATATATATTATTATATATTTTATAATATTAAATTAATAATTTAAAAAAAGATAAATAAATAAATATTATCGAAATTAATTTCTTCTTCTTGCAAATATTTTCTTATTCGCTTTTGTGTTACATATAATAGTCATTTGGGTTTATGTCTTACATAATCAACTTTAAAAATTAAAATACCAATATATATAATTATAAAAATATTATTACTATGATACAAACAAATAAAATTATTATAAAAATTATAATACCTTTTGAGTTTATTGTTTGCCGAAGCATTTCATAATAAACCCAATCATTAGCTGTATTAGAAAACTCTGGAAATTCATTAGAGGCCTCTCTAAACCATGCCTTTTGAACTTCATTTGGAATATATTTAATACTAATTTTTTTTGAATAGATACTATTTTGTTTTAAATTATGAAGAAATTTCTATTGTAAAAAAAGATTTTAATTTTTTTTCAATAGTATTATTAAATTAGAAACATTTTATATATAAACTTACTTTGCATTCTTTAACTAAACGTGGATCTACATCTAAGATTTTTGCAATAGGAATATTCATATATATTTTTTCAGTATTTGGATCAATCTTTGGTTTTTGTGGTTTGCTTCATTCTTTTATTTTTATTGATTGTGCTTTATGGATATACCATTTGACTTTTGTATTGTCATCTAAATTATTAGGAGATGCATTGAGTTCATTAATATTATCAAATATATTTGAATTAGAAGTTTTGTTAAACATTTTAAATAATATATACTCTGCCAAAGCTTCTTTTTTACATCACAGTCTTAAAAAACTAGGAAATATAATTCAACAAATTAAAGCTTCATTATGAAATCAAACACCTATACCTACAAAACTTAATAACACAATCCAATGACTTAATAATACTGATAATCTTACTATTCCCTCCTTACCAACCAGACATGATCTACTAACTGACTGGATCTCAAATGCTAATAATGAATAGAAAGCATTTTATTATAC